TTATATTGTAACTAATTTAATGCGTTTAGATTTTCATCAACTTATTAAAATGAATAATCAACGACCAATAGATAAACGTATTATTACAAATAGTCATATTCCACATTTTCTTTATCAAATATTACGAGCATTAAAATTTATTCATTCAGCTAAAGTTTGTAAGTACATTATTGAATTTAATAACAATATTAAAATATTATTTATCTTTTATATTCAATTATAGTACATCGAGATTTAAAACCAAGTAATATTTTTGTTGATCTTGATGGTCATGTACGTATTGGAGATTTTGGTCTTGCTCGTGTACTAGAAGAAGAAGAAGCTAATACACCAATGACTGAATATGGTAAATCTTTGTTTTCCTTTTTTTATTTTGTTTTGCTTAAATAAATAAAATTTTTCATTTAAAAATTTATTTTAGTATGTACACGATGGTATCGTGCACCTGAATTAATGCTTTGTGATGGAACATATACTTCAGCTATAGATATGTGGTCAGTTGGTTGTATTCTAGGTGAACTTATATTTGGTCAACCATTATTTCCTGGTCGTCATTATTTTGATCAATTACGTCTTATTGTTGAACATCGTTGTGGTTCATTAGGTTTTCCTGTTCATGAACATAAATTAGCATATCCAACAATATCAGATAAATCATTAAATGCATTTCATCGTATATTAGCACAATGTACAAATTATCATTCGAAACCATTTTTACCATCGGATTCAATTATACCAAATATAGATGAAGCTGCATTTGATTTACTTGATCGATTATTATTAATGGATCCACATAAACGTTTAACAGCTGAAGATGCTTTACATAGTTCATTGTTTAATAATTATCGAAAAGATGCTGGAGGTGAACCGTCATCGGAAGAAGCGTTTCAACTTGATCTTAGTCCATATCAATTATCTGAAATTCGTGCTATGCTTTTTCAAAAAGTACAACTTGTTCATCAACATTTACATGAGAAAGCACTTATACTTAATGAACAAGCAGCAATGATGGCTAATATAAATATGGAGAAGATGGATTGTTATTAGTAATAGATTATTCCAAACAAACAAATAAACAAAAAATTGACTGAAATTTTTAGAAATTTTCTTCTCTAAGACAAAAGAGAGAAGGAATGTTTTGTATTTGTTGTCATTCAAGAAGAGTTTATTTTCTTCTTATATTATTTATGTTTTATGAGATCTCATTTTTTTTAATGTGAGTGAGTTTTGTGTATTACGTACGTTTTATGCTTGTTCTTCTTTTCTTTTATTGTATTTTATCAAGTAGGTTTAGTATCTATTCTTCTCCTTGATTATTATATTTATATTGATATTAGTTTTATCATTAATTACATTGATTCGTGCATCATTGTTGCAGCGTTTCATCTTATTAAAAAAAAATATATATATTATCCGTACCAACAATGAAACTATTCAATCAATCATTCTTTTATATAAAAATGATTATCAAATATTTAGTACAATTTATTTGCTGTTATTTTCCATAATATCAAAAGCACAACTAAGATTCTTTTTATGAACCAATAGAAAACGAAAAGGATGCTATAGAATGTGACGAAAAATGTTCGAGCTAACTTTGTGTAGTTTTAGTAAAGAAAGTACTATAAAGATAGCACAGGATATGTACCCATGTGCATCCACAGGCGTAGAAGAAGAGGGTAAAGTCGCTGAGTGGTGAAGTTGGTTTCTATCGAAATTGAATTTCTTATTGTTCCAATAGTCAATTTCAATATCCCATATCTTTTACCAGCTAATAAGCCTACTCGAGTTAGATATGTATCCAAAATTTCAGACTTTATTATATTTGCCTAAGGAAAATATCACTGATGCAGTTATTCAATTCTAAGCCTTATAATTGACTTTTGTATATTAATCATTCCATGTAAGTCACGATCAGACCTGCTGAATCTAGGTCGTCAGATTTTTACTTAATTTAACATGTTATTCTGAATAAGCTAAACAACAAAAGCATGAACTTTGGTCACACGAGTACACTCACATGTGCCTTGCATATAGGCATAGATTCATCAAAACGAATATAGTTCTTTTCGGATATTTCTAATTATTGTCTATGATTACATGTGACGGACAGAAGAACAAAGAAAAATTCAAGCAATAAAGTCAAGCAGAAAACAAAGAGATAAATCGTTATGAGTGCAAGGAAAACAGGAAAACGGTACATATGTAAATTAGAGAAAGAATGATATTAATTGCCAAAAGCAAGTCATACCCCTATGCACATATTGGTTTTCTTCACCTTTCAATTAATTTAAGACACTACTAAAAAAAACTAATGTGTTGTTTCTCACCACGAATATTCCTTTGCATGACTTACATGATTGAAAAATGTTGTATGTTGATATCATTTTTTCCAAATTACTCATATACTTACCAATAATTCAACAATCATGGAAGTCATTTCCGTTACTACTCATTATCAACTCATATTTCTTTGCCATCGGCAATGATATTAATCATGCTGGAAAAAGTATGTACTATTTCCATAGAAATCAATATCGATAGATAGGTTTATAAATAACAAGTTAGACAACCATCGTTGCTATTCACAAAATGTTTATCTGCTGTTGTTGCTATGTTATTTGTTTCAAAAGTGGACCAATGGGTCAACTACAACCATATATTGGTTTTTATCCAGTATTAATCATCTAATGCGAAGACTGAATCAAGATTGATGTGACTTGTCGCAAGATACAAACGATTCACATTCATCTTATTCTACCTGTTTCTATGACGATCTTTATGAATACCTTCCAATCTCATGATACTCCACTCCTCCAAATGTGGTACTTCACGCTGATCCTGATTCGCATACTTTATCAGTTTCACTCGATTAACAATCAAGGCAGGCAAATCCATCTTATAAGTGTGACCAACTCGTTTAAATATACATAATCAAGAGTATTAGTATTTCATATACATATATTATTCAACTCATTATTCCTGAAAAAAATGAAGTTTACCAATTATTTTACATTGACTGTTAGATAGAAGAAATATCTTCTATCATTTCGTTCTGATATTATAAATATCAAAATGTGATTATGGTCTTTGTGTTTGTTTGTTTCTTTTTACATTCATTTTGGAGTGTTTTATTTGAATCGTTTGGAATATTCAGCGTTTCAAAATAAATAAATAAATGCATGCAATCTATCTCGATCGAACTTACTATTAGATGTATTATGTTATAGTTTTTATTAATTCTATATGCAACTGAAATGAATGAATGAAATCTTATCAAATGAAAATTATGCTATCAGTAGCTTTGTTTGTTTTAACAAAAACTTGATGAGAAGAGTGTTAAAAAAACTAATGGCTGTAGGAATGTTCATGATAAATAATATCAACGACAAAAAATGAAGTTTATTCAATAAATTTTTGTCAGAAGAATCGATATTGAGATGATATTTCGAGATCTAATCCTTCATAAAAAGACATGATTTGTCACTTGGTATCTCATTCGTTATCCAAATTTTTGATGATTTTTGACATCACCTGCTTCAAAGAAATACACTGATATCAGAAAAAAAGGAAGTATTTTTCATTTTTTACTTTATTGATCATGCATCCCAGATCTCTTGAGGAAAGTACATTTTAATCATTTGCTTTTTTTTTGGTTTGAAAGAATATGTCACGATGCAATGTCTGACTGAATCTGTTTCTTCAAATAAGCTTTTGTATAATTATATAGAAAAGCATTTCTATAGATAGATGAATATTTTTTGAGAGTTTCTCAAGGTATTGAACTTATTATTCTTTTTCGCCGCATAAAAATTAAGAATTAAAAAACAAAGTGCTGTTGTCGGACAAGCTCTATCAGATAGAAAATAAGATTAGATTTATAGAATGAAGACCCACAGAGAATGTGGATCATCTAATGAACCATGTTTAGTCTTTATTTGTTGAATATCTTCTGCAAACATTATGATATGAAACTGAAAATTTTAACATAATCTATCCACTATAATACAACATATTCTGAGAATTTCATGCGATTTGAATGCACCTGAACCAAAATAAAGAAATAATGACCACTAAATAACAAGTAAATGAAAATTTAAATAACAATATTTCTTTTTTTTTCCATATATAATTAAAACGTACAGTAGAACAGGAAACTTAAGTACATTTATTATTGGTATTAGGAATAAATTTAGCTATTTTACATTGATTTTATAGTTTCGTCAATATATCATCTTATATTTTAATCTCATATTAATACAAGATTTATATTGTCATTTATTTGTTGTTTGGTGGTCATTATCACTTCTAGCAAAAGTTTCGCAACATTTTTTGCTTTTTGCATGTAACTCTATCCAAGAACATAATAAAATATTCACCATTTTCTTCAAAAGATATGCTCTTAAATGTTCTACTCGAATCACAAGATCAAATCTTTATAACCATTTTTGAAAACTTCAACAAGCTACTAACACTGAACATGTATATTATCGGGTTATATCTCACGAAGAAAAATGAAAAAGTACTATTTTATGATTGACAACTAACATCATTTTTACTCATTATAGTCAGGCGTTAGTGCATTGATCTCACTGTTTTTAAATAATGGGTTTGAGAGCAACACATCATAAAATGTTTTATTTTAGAGAGAAGCATCTAGCTCAATTGACATAAACATTATTTTTCACTTGTACTCAAGATCAGAATGAGTAATAATCCTCATGCTCTGACAGCCATACTAAATTTCTAATTCATTTCAAACATTAGAGCCATAACGAATTAACAATAATTATTAAAATCGAAATTCAATAATTTTCGACTTTTTCTAATTTTGTCTTGAAGGAAATAATACGATCATTACTGTGTTTTGTGTTAGCAGTGTATTAAAATTTTGAAAATAGTAATGAAGATTTGCTGTTGTGATCCGAATAGAACATTAAATGACGGATGTTTTGAAAAGAAATAAATGTCATAAAACTTTCGTCACACATGGTATTTCTTTATTTATCATTAAGTATTTCTTGTTCTTGAATTTGAACACAAAGCGATAATCGTGTTTGAAAGTTGACATTCCCTATTGTAAAACATCTTAAAATAAAATTTATTCAATACACCAGATTTTTTTTTGTTGTTAATGTTTGACTGAATCGCAGAAGATTTTCTTTTGCAACTGTGAATATTTTTATTCATACACAAAGACACAACTACTATGAAAAACAATGTTTACAAAAAAGTCGATAGTAACCAAGTTGGTTATTTCTTATCGTTTGAACTGTCTGTACCGGTATCTTTCATTAATGTTTGTATATAATCAGTTGCTGATCGAACAACATCATAATCCGACATTCCTTTCGCATTTGAATTAGGCAATAATGAACGTAATTGATCTAATGATGATTCATATGTACTATTTGTATTCGAATTTGATGACGATGATGACGATGATGATGCTACTGATGAATTATTCGATGACATTGAAATGAGAATTATAATGTAAAATTGATTACGTGAATTAAATATTGAACTAAATGTCTTTCAACAATGAATAGACAAAAGAAAATTTAAACGGACAGGTGTGCCAAACAAAGAACGAAAGAAAGAAAAAACATGTTAGTCGACTTTTTTTTTTCCGCTCATATCTATCTATCAGTTCAACATGGACGGACAGGTCAAAATTTCTATAAGTGCCCTTATGTTTAATCATTCGTCATTTATTTTATCAATAAATGAATACATTTAAAAAAAAGAAAGAAAGACCTTTTCTTTTAGTTTATTTAACTTTAACAAATTTAAATTCAAGTTCATTAATGGCTACAGGTTGTTTAGCTTTTTCATCATAATCCATCCATTCTTTATTTTCGGACAAATCAATTTGACCAAAGTTCGTACTAGATTCAACACCTTGACATGTCCATCCGTCACCTTAGAAAAAACAAGAAAACGAGAGTAATTTCTCATATATATATATATATTTAATAAAAAAATGATTTTTTTTTACCTGGTTGCCAATCAACTGGTTCAATACCACGACATTCAAATATAACAAGTGTCTTAAAAGTATGATTATCCGAATCATCAGTTGTATAATTCATTGGTGGTTTAACTGGTTCAATATTTAGATTTGCTTCTTGTGAACAAAATTTACATTTCATTAAAAAATTAGCTTCACCACGACTTCCAGATATGCTTGATGATTGTTTTATATTAATATCATGATATGTATCAGAATGTGTATGACATTTTGTACAATCTAATTTTAAATACCAGATAAAATCATCAAAAGATTCTATATGAAAATCTGTGACATTGTCAAGATTTGCTTTTATTTGAAGCGCTATCTTCACCATCTAAAAAAAAAATAATTTAAATATATTTTAATTCATAATCTGATAGAAATATGTGTTTTTTCAGCGTCCAAAAGGTTTTGTCAAAAGTATTTATAAAATAACGCCGCTTTAACGAGCACAAAATTCTGGTAAAAATGTGCATTCGCTGCATTTTCTACGACCTTCTTTAAAAAAAAAATTAAAGTATCACGAAAACTGGTTTTTTAAGGCGATTGTTTGAGAAAGTTCGTTTTATGATTTTTGTAATCTTCTTAACTTTTTACAAGAAGGTCATAGGAAATCCGGTGTCCCTTCATTTTGTTCAGAGCTGTATGCATTTTGAAATAGTCTGGTTAAAAAACAGCTCCCACTGTCTTCTGAAGCCTGAAAACTATCATGTCCAAGTTTTAAAAACCCTTGTCATTATCGTTCATCGATAAAATATTGGTATACAATGCATGCATTTATTGATTATTTAAATTACTTTCTGGATTTGTGCTAGATACTTAATATTATAGAAATTTTAAAATAAAAAATATGTTGTTGTAAAATTTTTTTCACCATAGTAAATTATATAAGGTTGACAACTTTGCAAAGAGGTGTCCTAAGATAATTAGCATCGGAAAATGGGATTGAACATTGTCTTTTAGAAATTAACAAGCAAAAACACAATAAAACGCTGGAAACAAACGAAAATTTTTCAAGATTCGAGCGTCGTAAAAAAGCTTGGAACACTTACACCTTCTCAAAAAAAAAGTCAATAGGCTGCATGTTTGTATTATATTCAACAGAGGACAAAATTATATTATCCGTTGGAATATAATTTATTTCGAAAGAGAAATTCAATGTGATTGACAGTTTTAACTTCAAATTCTTGACTGATTGTTCTTCTACAAGTAAATTCCTTACTTCTTTTTTCGCATATGATCTTGACTACTAGAATATCATCTGAATTTCATCATGGAAGAGTTTTATTTAAGTTTTCTGAAAACCATAGAAAAAAGAAAGTCATTCATTGCATGATGAATGACGCACAGTTCAAGGTTATTATGCACGCTTTCAAAAAGTTCATGTATAAAAAGATAGACAAAAGTAGCAGAAGATTATATTAAACAAACTAAAGTTTGCGCAAATTAAACATGAAAATGTATTTTATAGAGTTTAAAAATAAATTAATTATAGTCTTATAACGTTCAGTAACCATTTGTATATGACCGATGTTACATGATAGAAAATAAACAATCGAAAAAAACTTTTTATTGTTGGTTTGAGTTGTTAACCAATCGTATGAAAGAGTCTTCAATGTGTCTGATGTCACTTTTGTTAAATACATCAAGCAAAAGCAAAGTACTCAAGGTACTTATGGTATTGAAAGACTACTGTGTTATATAATTTACTGCAAAAAAAAATGAAACAGTACTGCACTGATACTCTCCAAAGTAGGAAAAACAATTTATTCATTTGTTTGAATAGTAAAGGTTTTAGATCAATAAAAAGAAATAGTAATCAACATATTAGCTAATCTATAACATACATCGTTAAACATTCATACGACAAAAATTCTCATGAAATTATCAAATAATTGCTTTGTCGAACTAATGTTTTTATCTCATAGCAGTGATTTGATGTGTTAAATACAATAATTAATAATTCAGTTTTATTCATATCAGTCATCTTGAAAGTTCTTTTTTTTTTTTAATCATAAAACATTGTTTTTGTTTCATGAAATTCCGTATCTGATTCATCATCCTATACCGCCATCATCATACTTGACGTCATGGAAGAACGCCATAGAACAAAATCATCGACAAATCTAAAATAAATATTGCATGAGATAGAAAAAAAAACAAGCATGAATAAGAACAACAATATGTATTTATAGAATAGTACGAAAACTAAATTCATACTATTATAAATAATATTATTTTATCTTTATTATAAACAACATATTTTTCAGATCTTTGATTAAAACGTACAATGTCATCGAATGAACAAAATTTTAATTTAAGAGAACAAGCTGGTTCTATTGGTCAAGCAGGTGGAGCATTTAGTGAACGAGGTCGTGCAGCTGAAAATGCTTATTTTCATGCACAAGAAGCTGAACAATTAGCTGCATTAAAACAACAACTTGAACAACAACAGCAACAAAAACAATCAAAATAATGAAATTATGAATATAATTCATATTGACTGATTTCTTTTTTTTGATTATCTCTTATTATCTGTATTATTTTCTTATTTAGCATCGCACGAAAATAAATATTTTACTTTTTAATCAAAAATAAAAAAAAAAATTATCAGTTAACAACTTTATGAATTTCATTAGAATTTTTTTGACATGTTTCTAATAATTATGACAGATTGAAACAAAATTTTTAAGCTTCTATATAAAATGTGTTCAAAATAGAATATAAAATAATTTAAAAAGAAATGACCAAATTTAAATCATCTATGCCTTTGAAACAAAAACTAGAAGTCGATTTTAATACTTTTGTAAAACAGGTATAGTGAAAGATCGAGAACGTTCTTGATGACTGCCAAAAACTACAGAAGAAAAAATCGACAAAGTTCATCATATTTGTGAAAGAGAAATTATAATCATGTACTCGAATTGTTGCAATAGTTACAACAGAACACCTTACATTAAAACCGTATAAGATACATTGTTATTTGTGAAATATTATAGCAGACCATTACGACAGTTCAAGTACATGTATGCGATTCATTTTTTTTACGAACATTATAAATTTCGTCGACTTTTTCTTCTATAGTTTTTGACCTTTCCGTGTATTAGTTTCACAAAAAAATTAAAATGTAACTGTTACAGATTTTTCATTTAGTATATTTTTGTCGAACTCGACTTGTGTAGGGCTGTTTGATCGGTTCAACGACCACATGGTAGAGAAAGAAAATATTGTATCAATAGAATAAAAGAACGATTAAACCAATACAAATTGATTTTAATAAGCAGTTTCTTTGCTTTGAGCCGCTGTGTAACATCTGAAGACATGTAGTGCATAATAAATACTATTTCGAATTCTCAGGAGTTGAGGTTTACAGTACATATATTAACTTTGACCTTGATTGTTCAGTAATGAGTCTATGATCAATCGTATGCCTTAGTATGTGTAATTCGCCGAGTTATTATGAAGAGGATAATTTGTTTCGAACAAGTCTTTTTTTTTCCAAATTATTCGATTTTGTGTAGGTCCACTATTTCAAATGCGAAGTTATGAGAAAAAAAAACCTTATTAATTTGTATTATTTCATTATTTCAACATGTCTTGGAATTAGTATAGGAGCTCAAACTAGTCGAGTTCTAACTTTTCAGTTATAACTGATCAACTTTTCAGTCAAAATAATTCATTCATATATAACCAACAACCGAGGTTGTAACTAGTAATCATTTTGATTTGATCGATCAAGCATGTATTTGTTTCATTGGTCTGTGCTTCATATTTACTCGTATTTGTATGTCGAACACGGACATACTTGGAACTAGATTGGTTCGATTATCACTGGTTTTCTTTTGATCACCGGGGTTGACGATTTAGTTCGCTTTTTAACGATTTCTATGGTTTCAATGACTAAGAGATATGAGTCTGAAAGTTTTCAGCAAAGTTGTCATGAAAATCTCAGTTATAAACATTGAGCTAACATTTTGCCATTATACGATAAGAGCTTCAGATCATACTGAATGATGTTTTTATGCTTCCGAATAGTTAGGCAAGTATTAAAAGTTAATTTTGATCTAAACTAAAGATTTTTAACCTCAAAATTTCGAAGTCAGTTTTCTGAACTACTTTTAATCGACTCTCATAAAATCTCAACAGGTAGTAGTTTTCATTACAAAATATCAGAAAAGATTCTGAAATCTTCAAATACAAACTCAAATACGTTCAATACCAAATATGAGCGTAAATACACATGTAATAAAATATATTAATATTCTGAAAAATATGAATAGCAGACAATCATATTTTTAGAAATTAAAACTATTATATTCCATTTCTTATTCTCTAAAATAGTAATCATCTTCAATATATATTGTATTAAGGTTTAGATAATGCTCTCTGTCAATATAATCATATATAGTTTTTCTTTAAATATGAAATAACTATATCAAGTTATTCTGTGTTCATTTTTATACGTTCATCATTATTTATGTTGGAACACATCTTTTTCTTTTGTTCTAGTTCTTTCTCTTTATTATACCGTCGTACGAGAGAAGAGAAACGTATAAGAATAAAGAAATCAAGTGAACAACCCAGGCAGACAAAACTAGTAAAAAAAACGCGTAAAAATGGGCCCAAAAACAAAGGCGTTCCAATTCGTTGAAATCGCACATTTAAACGCGTTAGTAACACTGTGCTATTTCGAACAACGTTTTTATGGTGTTAGATAGTACTATGCGTTCATAACGCGTTTAAATATGCGATTTTTACGAAAATTTTTTCGTTTCATATTCTAAACGCGTTTTTGTTTTATTTTTTGAATAAAACAGATACTATAAGGTAGAGAGCTAACTCAACACGTCGTGATCATTTGAGAGTTAGGTTGAAACTATATTTTTTCTAACTATTTAAAGTGTATCCTTAATACGTCTTTCTGTACGTATTAAGGATACACTTTAAATAGTTAGAAAAAAAGTAGTCTCAACTAACTCTAAAGTAATTACGACGTGTTGAGTTGTCTCTCTACCTTATAAAATTTAGTTACTTTATTTTAATTGGAATTAACTATATGTGGATAAATAACTGAAATATACGCAAGTTCCGTAACATTCTTTTTTTTTATTGCCTAACAATATTCTATTCTAATGTAAGATATGCTTTGAAGCCATCAACTATTCTCTTATTCTACTATTGTCTAGCTACGAATCTATGACCGCAATAAAAAAAATAAAAAACTGATTGTTATGAAAGAAAGTGAATAAAAAAAGGGAAAATTGATATAGTTGTTGATGCTAAGTTAACTCTTCGTATGACTAAATAATTTAACACAAGGTTGACTAATGTACT